CCCCCCCCCCCCCCCCAAGCTGCATTCACCTGAGCCCTTCCTGTGCCCTTAGACTGGGCCATTCCCCAGCCATCCCACCCTGGAGATGGCTGCATCTCTCACTGTCTCCCTCTTCCCTCAGCTCCTGTGCCTGGCCTTCCTCATCTGCTCCATGGTGTCCAAGCCCATACACTACATCAGCCCCAGTGACTCTGAGCTGCCATGAGCACTGTGTTCTTCACTGCCTACACCTACAGCCAGGACACCCTGTGTTCTGGCACCCATTGGGGCTGGAGTGTCTGTGACTCCACCTCTTGCAACACGTTTCCCCCGCTGCGCATAGTATAGCTCTTGTGCAAAGTGTTCTCATTTTTCATGTACCACACCTGTTCCTCTGTGCAACATTCAGCCCTCATGCAATTTTGTTTCCCCTGTGTCATGTATAGTTTGCATGCAACATGCAGTACTCATGTGACGCATTCTTATTTCCTTGTGCAAGGTACAGCCACTGTGGGATGTTTTGTTTCCCTGTGTAACACACTGCAATGCAGAGCACACGTTGCACAGCCCTCATGCAACATGTGCTTATGTTCACCATGTACCACAGAGTCCTTATGTGACATCTTTGTTTCTCCATGTGACGCACAACCCTGGTGCAACATGCTCTTGCCCTGTGCAACCCACAGCCCTCATGTGACTCCTTGTTTTCTTGTACAACATAAAACCCCAGTGCAGTGCACTCTTGTTTTCCCCATGCAACTCATGGCCCGTGTGCAACATACACTCACTTCCACATGCAATACACAGCCCTGGTCCAACACGCTCTTGTTTCCCTGTGGAACCTGCTGCCCATGCAACATGTTCTCATTTCCCCGTGCAATGTACAGCTCCTTGTGCGACACGGTTCTGTTTTCCTGTGCAACGCACAACACTAGTGTGACCCATTCTTGTTTCCCAGTGAACCCGCAGCTTTTGTGACACTCGTTTCTGTGTGTGATGTGGTTGTTTTCCCCATGCCACCTGTGGCTCTTGTGCGACACACAGACCTGTTGTGATGCTTTGTGGCTTCTGGTGTTCAGAAGGCAAAGGAAGAAGAGTCCTAGCCCTTCCCTTCCCTGCCCTACCCCCATTCAGCAGCTGCTGCTCCTTTCCCCAGAAAAACCTTTTGGCTGCTGCCAGTCAACTTCTGGGGAGACTGATTTGCAATCATCTCCATATAGGAGTGGCTTGTTTTCATTTATGTGAGGGGAGTGGGAGCTGAGGCAGGGGCAAGGCAGGCAGGGCCAGAAGGAAACTCAAGTGTCCGGGACACACACACACAAAGGAAAGAACCCAAGGGGGGTGTTGCAATGAAAGGAGCAATTAATGCATTCTAGGGCCAGTGGCTTGTTCTTGTACAACTACATCACCTACTCCAGCCCCCAGAAGAGCCATGGGTCTGCCCTCACCAGTGAGAGGGGACCCAGGCATCCGGGACAAGCATCTGTTGCTGCATCCTGGGGACAATGGAGAAATGCCTTCAATTCTCTATAGAGTTGACGTGGGGGATGGGAGCCCTGATGCCTGGGAGTGGGGATCTCAGTGTGGTGGTTGGGGCTGGGGGTGGGGAAGCAGTGGGTCGGGAGTCAGGATGCCTGGGTATTTTGGGAGGCGGGTGAAGGGCTCCCCGAACCCCACTCTAACCTTATCTCTTCCCAGAACCTTCACAGGCCACCCTTGGCTGTTAGAGGAGACCCCAGGACCAAAACCACTTGTGGTGAGGCCCTGAGAGTGTCCCTGGGGAAGGGGCGGGGCCTGGGCCGCGACCACCAAGGGGTTAAAAACCTCCTCTAGGCCCAGCCCTGTCCAGCGCCGAGCACGAGTTCTTTAACCCTTTCAGTGCCGCGTGAACACAGAAATGGGCAATAAACCTCGAATTTTGGTATATAATCAGGCAGCTCGCACGCCTGTGTAGCGGGGCTGGCGGGCTGCACGCCTGGGTGCTCTATTAAGCACAGCCCCCCCCCCCCCCGTTCCAATGCGAATGGTTCATTCCACTCTCCGCCCCCCTGTCCCGCCCCCTCAGAAAGTGAGCCAATCAGCATTCTGGTTTGTAGCTCAGCCCCGCCCTCAACAGCGAGCTCGACGAAGCCAATCAGCGGTCTAGATTCTAAAATCAATTCCGCTTTAGACCAACACGGCTACAACCAACAACCCTAAAATCAGTCCCGCCCTTTCTCACCACAGTGAGTAAACCAGTAAGCGGGCGATTTTCCAGCTTGGGCCTTCCCCGAGCAGGCGTGGAACTATTGGCACGAAGTAACAGCCAATCGGAACCCGGGCTTCTAGCTTGGTCCTACCTCCCTCTCGCGAAGGTCCGGCGCTATTGGCCAGCAGATAACAACCAGAGACATCAGGAGCAAGAGGGCCGCCATCTTATTAGGAGTAGTTGCAGTGGGGGCTGCCATTTGGGGGTGGGGCATAGAGGGGCAGCCATTTTGAAACAGGGCTTAATGTGGGAGAGGATATTCTAGATTCCGCTGTTCTGGGAACAGGCAAAGCTGGAGACCGCTCTCTTGGAGGGGGGGAAATACCCCGCCTCAGGCTTCCTTAATTCCCACGTCACCATGCACACTACACTGCTTTAAGAACTCAAGCGTCCGGGCTCCCACCCCTCTCCCGTCCTAGGGATCCGGGGTGTCCGGTCCAGTGGAACCGAAGAGAAACCCCGGGCCACGCCCCTCCTCAATCCTGGCTCCTCATCTCCCCCCTACTTGGTGCTTCAGCCCCAAATCCCACCCCCTGTTCTAGTCGTACCATTAGAGCTACCTTGGTAGACCCCGTCGCGTCCAGCCCTCCTCCCCACTGGCCCCCGAGCAAGCCTCGCTACCTTACTTTAGCCCCGTTCCTTCCCTAGTGCTGCCCACACCTTACTATCCGTGCCACATCCAAGCCCGACCCTCCCAGCGCGCGTCTCAGCCGCCGCCGCTTGCAAGCCCAGCCGCTCCTCTAAATCCCGCCCACCATGGGTGCCACTACACAAGCTCCACCCCTGCCATGGGTCCCACCTTTCTCAAGCCCCACCCCCTCCCGTGTACCCGCGCCCGCGCCCAGCCTGGGCAGGGCAGCAGCAGCCGCACGCGGGGCAATGGAGGCCGGATCGGGATCGGGGCCGAGCTGCCTGGGGCAGCTCCGCGCCTTCCTGAGCTCCCGCAAGGGGATCGTGCTGACGAACGAGATCGTGAGTGATGGAGGGGGTTGCTCTATAACCTCACCCAGTGCCTCACCCCAAACCTGGGTGAAGCTGGGAGGGAACCCAGGCGTCCGGGCTCCCTCCCCGCCCCCTTCTCCTAGAGAACCCAGGGGTCCGGGCTCCCAGCCCTCCCTGCTCTGTTACCCCGCTTCCCTCTGAGGGAACCCAGACGTCAGCCCCCACTCACCCCCTCCCTCAAGTCCCAGACAACAACCCAGGCGTCCAGGCTCCCAGCCCTGACACGTGCGCTGGAAGGGAGCGGGCACCGCCCTGCCAGTCTTAGCGATGACTCATCGGCGAGCCAAGGGTTAAGGGAGGGGCGGGGCGGGGATTCCCCGGGAGCTGATTGGAGAAGGAGGAAGATTCTAATCGGGATGTCATTAGGCACAGTGGGGAATCCCCGGGATGGGAGTAGAAGGCTGGGGCCGGGATCCCGGACGTCTGGGATCTGTAGGACCGGAGTGGGGTCTCGGGGGTGAGAGCAGGGGGCTGGGAGCCCGGACGCCTGCGTTCTCTGTGCCCGCACCTCCCACGGGCGCTGGCTGTTTCCTGTTCAGACAGTCAGGGCTGTCGTGCGCTGCGGTTTCTGGATGCCAGGATGCGGCTGCGCCTGTGCCTCAGGAACCAGGCGTCCGGGCTCCCAGCCCCCTGCTCCCCCTCCTGCCCCGAGAACCCAGGTGTCCGGGCTCCCAGTCCCAAATCCTTTAAAGACACCCTGCACAGCCATTCCCTCGGTGAGAATTTTTGGCAGGCATCTCGCGGTTTATTTGGCGGTTGCCCGGGCAACAGGCGCCTCCCCACACATAGACAGTCGGCCCTTTTGTACGCCCGGCCCACGCGACGGGGTGTGGGCTGCATGGGATGCAGGCGTCCGGGCTGCCGACCCCCATCCCAGATAGGGCCTCCCAGCGGCCCCCCCTCACCCGTGAACCAGGCTCTTGGCAGAAAGTCAGTCGCTGCCTCTCTCCCCTGTGAGTCCCTGCCCGGCGGCGTTAGCGGGGCCGGGCCTGGCTGCTCCGACGGAGCCGGCCGCCTCCGCCCTCTTGCACCAGACGCTCTCCCGCGCTGCCTGCAGCCGGCTACCCCTGGCCCGGGGCGCTGCAAGCAGGTTACACCCGCCGGATGGCACCTCAGCCCTGCCCGGGCAGCGCCGGCCAGACCCCTCATGCTTGCTCTCTCCGCAGGGCCTCTGCATCATCGTCCTTATCTGCTATGGGGCTTCCCGCACCCCCGGCTACTCGGGCGTTGCCATCTTCGAGATGATCTTCGCCATTGTCTTTCTCATCGTCTTCACATTGGGGCTCCACAAGCAGATTACCGTGGTGCACTGGGGCTGGAGTGTGAGTCGTCCTTGTTGTGGTCGTCGTGGCCTCCCCCCCACAACAAGCCTTCCTGCCTGCAGCCCCTGTTCATATATTTGCATAAATTATCGCGTCAGAAATTCGTCCTGGAGAATGCCCTGATATTAAAATCGCTTGCAGGATAATGTCAACAAACTCAGTTCTCCTTCCCCTTCCCCTTCCCCTTGGCTGCTCGGTAATAAGCTCCTCCTGAGCATAGAAAACAGGTTCATTTTAATAGTCCTGAGTACTAATGAGCTCATTTCCCTGCATATTACCATTGGCTGCATGCTAATTTCCTGACATGCTAATGAGGCTATTACCCTACCTATTATCATCCAGGGCTACTCATTTCACCGCATATTCCCACTGGTTTCATGCAGCAGACCCCCTTGTTATGACTTTTGAATGCATGCTTTAGCATGCAAGGGTGCAGATATGCATATATGCAAATGTGCATGTATTTCCCTCCCAAGGGCATTGGTAGGCAAGGGTGCAGCTATGCATATATGCACGCACAGGTCTCTGTGGAAGGGCTTGATTGGCCTGGGCTCCTGCACTGCACTAGGATACACAGACCCTCCCTCCCTTGCCAGCACAAGCAGGGTGGGATGTTTCTAATTTTCCTATATGCACATTTCACTGTTTGTATTTGCTTTGAGACACTGCTTTCCAGTGGGGGCTTTGGCTCTTGTCTTGCGTACACCCACACAGAACCCAGGCACCCAAGGACATGCCCACAGAGAAACTAGCCTAACCACTGGCGGCACCCACATGCACAAAACCTAGGTGTCCAGGATATACCCACACCCTGAGACCCCAGACACCTGGGGTATCCACACTAGGAACCAGCATCTGGGGCACACCACCACCTAGAGAACCCAGACCTCCAGGGCAGCCAGGCCACCCTCCTAGTACAGCATTATAATCAGCCCTTCCCCACCCACTCCACTGCAGAGCTGGTCACATCTAAGACCCTCTCTCCCACCCAGGTGTCGGGGTTCAGGCCTCTCCGAAACTGACCTCTCTTTTCTCTCCCCTTTTCCCCAAGGACTTCATCCGCACTGTGATTGGCTGCCTCCTCTTCATCATCACTTCCCTCATTGTCATTGTGGGACACCGGGATGCAGCTGGAACCGTTGGTGGGGTACGATCCTACTAAGTGGGGGACCTGGTCAGGCCTTGGCTGGGAGACTGTGAGGGTGTTCGGGCCCTGGGTGGGAGACCATGGGAAGGCATGTGCTAAGCAGGGAGGGGATGTGGTCAGCCTGTAGATGGGGGTCTGGAGGGGCTAAGCAGGGTGGAGCCTAGTTGGGATATGGATGGGAGACCAAGGAGGTGGTGTTAAGTGGAGGTGGGGATTAGTTGGGCACTGGATGGGAGTCAGGGGCAGACTAAGCTAAACAGACCTTGAGACAAGGGGTGCTATGCAGGGAGGAGTGTGATCAGGCCCTGGATAGGAGATTGGAGGGGAGCTAAGCAGGGAGGAGCATGGTTAGGCTATGGATGGGTGACCTGGGGTGTGTAGTTTAAGTAAAAGTAAAGTGAAGTAGGGAGGGGTGTGCTTGTGCTGTAGATGGGAGACTGTGGGGGTGGAGTTGCTGAGGAGGGTGGTCTGGCTGTGAATGGGAGATGGGATGAATTCCACTCTGTTGCCTGTGTTCCAACCCAGAACTGGGTGCATTGTGGCAGGTAACAAGTGTCCAGCTACCCCCAGCCAGAATCAGTGAAGTAGTTAATGAAGGGGACTGACACCCCTTCCCCCTCCAGGTCTTCGGGCTCTTGGCGGGCATCGTGTTTGGGTATGACTGCTACCTCACCTTCCCCAGCCTGAGGAAGAGCCATGCACCTGCCCCCACTGGTGAGATAGGATTCCGGTTGTGTGCGTGCACTCATACATACACACACATGCACTGGACCTAGGTGTTCCCTGCCTTCTTCCCTCCCCAAACACACTGGAGAGGGCAGGGATGTGGGTAGGGCCTGCTCTTGGCTCCACCCTGAGCTAGGGGCAGGGCTGTGGGAGGGCATGTCTGTCACCCTAACGCTACCCCCTTGCTCCCACAGAGTCACCTGAGGGTGCCTGAGGAGTCCCTAGATCTGCTTCCGTCCCCACGATGATGACGACCATGACGGCCTGGCTCTGCCTCCTCTGACCCCAGCCCCACCTCCTCCCCCTCCCCTATTGGGAAGCAGGATGCGGTTGGTTCTGGGGTGCAGTGGCCAAGTGGAATGGCTGGGTTCTCTCCTCACCAAGTGCGTTTCTTTGCCATGTGGCCCCTGAAGGTGCCTTTCTTTCCTCACCAAGTGCCTTTTTTTGCCATGTGGGAGCCCAGACACCTGGATTTTCTGGGAGGGTAGTGGGGGATGGGGGGTGAGAGCCCAGACTCCTGGGTTCTCTCCCCGCCAAGTGTCTTTGTGCCCCCTTCACCTTGTTACCTTCAGGGAATAAGCTAATGACCCTTAATGGATCCTCTCTCCTCCAGAGGAGGCCAACTGCCCCCCTGTCCACCCCTCAGTGTTGTGCCCAGCTCTGAGGAAGAACCCAGACCCCATATTGCCCCATAACCCCTTGCCCCAGCTTGATTTAACCTTCGCTTGTCCGTCTGGGAATAAACCTAAGGTTACAAAGCCTTGGAGTCAGAAGGGTTCTTTGTGGGAGGGGGGTCTGGGAGTCTGGGTATCCAGGGAGAGGAGTGGGGGCTAGGAGTGGAAACAGGGGAGGCTGGATTCCCTGGGAGGGGAAGGAAGCTGGGGGGTGGGAGCAGGGGGCGCTGTGAGCCTAGGTTTTCTCCTCACTCTGGAAAGGGGGTCCAGTGACTTCCATTGAATGTTGGGGGGGACTGCAGAAAGGAACCCAGGCATCTGAGCCCCCACCCCATGGAGCAACTTGGGTTGCTTCTCTACAAAATGAGGGTTTATTGCCCTCTTGCCTCCTCCCCTCAGCTCTTACCCACTTCCCCCCTCCCCCCGGTCTTCTTGCTCTTCTTTGGGTCCTGGTGCTTCTGGGGTGGCCTAGAAAGGACACAAGGGTGAAAGGGGTTAGAGCTGGATGCAGGGCTGGAAACCCGAACGCCTGGGTTCTTTCAGACCCCCACCTTGTCCCACACTCCCCACTCCCAAGGCAGGGAGAGAACCCAGGCTTCTGGGTTTTCCTACCTCTAGAGAATCCTGAGACCTATTGTCTCGTTGGTGTCCTGTCCATGCAAGGCCCTTGTTGCATGAGGGCCCCTGGTATGCAAGGCCCTTGCACAAGGGCTGTGGTTTCACTTCCCCCTCATCCTGGGGTGTGAGAAGTACAGCTATGCCCCACCCCTGGACAGCCCTGTGCAAGGAACCGTCATGCACCCCTTGCTTGAGGGGTCTGGAATGGGCACGGGGGCCCCAGGGTGAGGGGATGGAGTGGGTGGGGGGGGCTTGCACTGAGGGGGTGGGGCTTAAATGGGCCAGTCTGACAGTGAAGAGAGGGCTATTGCAGTGGGGATATGGCTTACCTTAACGGGGGCAGGGCTTGCACTGAGGGGGTGGGGTTTAATACCTGAACTAGGCTGCCAGTGGGGAGGTGGTACCCATACCAGGGTGTGGCTAGCAATGGGGAGTAGTTTAACCAAGCAGAAGGTGGCTTACCTGGTGAAGGGGGCAGAGCCTTGCCTGGTGGGCAGAGCTTGGGCCTGACTGCCCTGGGAAGATGACACCCACGTGGGGGTGTGGTTTAACCGGCTGTGGTGCCTACAGGGGGTGTGGCTATCCGTGGGGGCATGGCTTTGTCTGGTGGGCAGCACTTGCACACAGAGGGGAGTGGCTTAATACGTAGGCCAGACCGCCACTGGGGGAGATGGTTCCCATGTAGAAGTGTGGCTTTGATAGTGGGGGCACAGCTTTCCCGTTCAGGGACCCAGGCCTTGACTGGTGGGCGGGGTTGTGCGAGCAGGTGTGGCTTAATACATGGGCCAGGCTACTGGTAGGAGGGGCTATGTCCGGGCAAGGGAGAGCGGACGAGGGAGGTGTGGCTTTGGCAGCGGGGCGTGGCTAGCAGTGGGGGCGTGACTTACCAGTCATAGGGGCCGGGCCTGCGTGGTGGGCGGGGCTTGCACAGGGGTGTCGTTTAATACTGAGGCCGGGCTACTAGTGGAAGCAGCTTTGCGGGTGGGTGCAGCCGACTGGATTGAGGGGCGTGGCTTTGGCAGTGCGGGGCGTGTCTATACATGGTGGGTGGGGCTTACCTGATCGGGGCTGTGCAGTGGGGCGTGGCTTAAGCGATGGGACAGTGAGCCCGTGGGAGTAGCTTTGCCCGGGAGCGGAGCCAACCAGGAGGAGGAGCTTACCGGGCTCAGGGAGGCGGGGCCTGTCCTTCGGGTGCGGGGCCGGTCGCCGTCTTGAGGCTGCGCTTGCGCTTGGCCACGTTGAGCTCGGGCCGCAGCAGCACCACGTGCACCTTGGGCAGGAAGAGCAGCCCTAGCGGCACGGACGCACTCAGGCTCAGTGACACAGTCAGCGTCGCCGTCTGGACGTACAGCTGCGCCAGGGGCGGGGCTTGAATTAGGGGGGCGGGGGAGAATGGGCGGTGCTGAGAAGGGAGGGACACAAGGGACTGGTTGGGGCTTGGTGTAGGGGCGGGGCTTAGCGGGAAATGGGTTTATCCGGGGCGGGACTGGGACAGGAAGTGGGATGTCGCAGGGGAGTGGGCGGGGCTTAGGGAGGGCAGGGCAGGGCTGCTGTGCGGGAGTGGGGCACGATGGGGCTTGGGCTGAGTTCCCTCCCGGACTCCACCCTCCCCGGAAATCTGGGTCCACCCTTCTCACCTTTCCCGCTCTCTTCTCGGATGCCTGGGTCCCTCCTCCTTTCCCTCAGATGCCTTGCTTCCCTTATCCCAGAAATCTGGATTCCCCTGGACGCCTAGGTTCCCTTCTTCCTCCCCCTCCATCCCTAGATCTCCCTGCCCCAGACACCCACCTTCCCCTTCTGCACCCAGATGCCTGGGTACACCCCTCCCCTTCACTTATCCCAGGCACCTGGATTCCCCTGTTCTGGTGGAATACCTTGGTTCCCTCCCCAGACACCTGGCTTCCCCAGTTCCAACATGCCCCCTCCCCACCAAAATTCCCCCACCACCAACCTTCTCCTCAGCCTGGGCAGTGCCGAAGAAGATGGGCACGAATGCGAGCCAGACAACGCAGGTGGTGTACATGGCGAAGCCCACAGGCTTGGCCTCGTTGAAGGCCTCGGGCACGCCACGAGCCTTGACAGCGTAGATGGTGCCTGTGGCCATGAGCCCCAGACCATAGGCCAAGCAGCCCAGGATGGACAGGTCGGACATGTCGCACCGCAGCACAGCCCGAGCTTCACGGGGGTCCCCGTGCCTCCCACGGGCAAAGTCCACCACAGCGTGGGGCGGGGAAGCCGCCACCCAGGCCAACGCACCAGCAGCTTGAACTAGTGAGAGCCCCCCGGCGATGACCAGCTGGGAGCGGGGACTGATGAAGCGGGGGGGGGTTACGGATTTCTTCCCCTGTTCGAAGATGCGGTAGATGCGGTTGGTCTTGGTCAGCAGTGCTGCGTAGGTCACAGCTAAGCCTTGCCCCAGTAGCAGGCGCCGGCCAGCGCAGACACTGGCCTGTGGCTCAGCCACCAGCAGGAAGGTGGCCAAGTAGACCAGCAGGATGCCGGCTAGAAGGAGGTAGCTGAGCTCCCGGCCTGAGGCTCTCACTACTGGTGTGTCGTTGTGCCGCACAAAGGTCACAAGGACAAAGAGAGTGGCTCCCATGCCAACCACAGCCAACGCCACAGGCACAGCAGCCCAGGGGGACCCCCAGCCCAGGGTGACTACAGGTGTGGGCTCACAGGAGGTGCGGTTGTGGCTAGGCCGCTGGTCATAGGGGCAAGGCAGGCAGGTGCTCTCGTCGGCCTGGTAGCGGTAGCCATCACACAGCTCACAGTGCCAGCAGCAGGGGACACCTTTCACCAGTGCCTTGCGTTCACCAGGGCCACAGGGGAGGCTACACAGGGAGGGGGGAATGGCCCGGGAACCGCCAGACCACTGCATGTCCTCCAGCTGGAAGAGAGGGGTCAGAGAAAGGCAGATGAGGTTGGGGTGGAGCAGGGAGCATAAGAGCTATAGAGATGTTGCTAGCTCTGGGGTGAAACAGCCAGATACAACAGCTGTAGGGATACAACCATTTCTGGGGTAGAATGGCTGAGTGTAATGGCTATAGGGATGCAGCTGAGGTGGCAGGGGTTGTAGAATGGTTATGTAGATGTAGCCAGCTCTGGGGTGAAACAGCTACGAATGGCTGAGTATAACAGCTATAGAGATACAGTCAATTCTGAGGTGGAACAGGTAGGTACAGCTGAGCGTAATGGCTACATAGAGATGGCCAGTTGCAGTGGGAAATAGCTGCGTATAACCAGTGTATAAGTGCAGCCAGCTCTGGGGTTGGGACAGGGAGGACCAGCTGAGTGTAACAGTAACATAGATGTGGCCAGTTCTGGGGTGGGAAGGCTGGGTATAACAGCAGTACCAGCAGCAGGGGATGCCTTTCAGTAGCAGCTTACACTTGCTGGGGATACAGGGCAGGTTGTACAGGGGAAGGGGAAGGTCCGGAGCCACCCAACTACTGCATGTCCTCTAGCTGCAGGTGTGGGGGGAGAGAAAGGCGGATGAGGCTAGGGTGGTATGGCTGAGTATAACTGTCATATACATGCAGCCTGTTCTGGGGTGGAATATGGCTGAGTATAACAGATATAAATCTGGGCTGGAGTTTGGGGTGGAACAACTATACAGATGCAGCCAACTCAGTTGGATCAGCAGAGAATAACTATACAGATGCAGCCAGTTCTGAGGTGGAATAGGTAGAAACCGCTGATGTAAAGGCTACATAAATGTAGCCAGCTCTAGTGGGGAACAGCTGTGTAAACACATCTGACTCTGGGGGGAAATGGCTGAGTAACAGCTAAATAGATGTGGCCAGTTCTGGGAGGAAGCAGGGAAGAACAGTTGAGTGTTATAGTTCTAGACATGCGGCCAGTTCTGGGGTGGAACTGCTGAGTGTAACAGCTATAGAGATGCGGCTAGGTCTGAGGTGGAACAGCTGAGTATAATAGCTACATAAGTGCAGCAAGCTCTGGGGTGGAACAGCTGAGAATAACAGTGCCATAGGTGCAGCCAGTTTTGGGTGGAGTAGCCAGGAATAGCAGAGTATAACAACTATATAGATGCAGGCAGTTCTGTAGTGAAATGACTGAGTATAACAGTTATGTAGATATGACCAGGTTTGGAAGGTAACATAGATGCAGCCAGCTCTGGGGTGGAGTGCCTAAGAATAGCTGAGTATAACAGCTATATAGGTGCAGGTAGCTCTGCGGGGTGGAAATGGCTGAGTATAAAAGCAATATATATGTGGCCAGTTCTGGGGTAAATCAGGTAGAAACAGTCTAGTGTAACAGCTATACAGACGTGGCCAGTTCTGGAATTAAATAGCTGAGTATAACAGCTATATAGCTGTGGCCAATTCTGGGGGTAGAACAGGTAAGGAGAGCTATATAGGTGCAGCCAGTTCTGGGGTGGAACAGGTGGGAGCAATGTAGTATAATAGCTATATAAATGCAGCCAGCTCTTGGGTGGAATGGCTGAGTTATAACAACTGTATAGATGCAGGTAGCTCTAGAGATGGAATGGCTGAGTATAACAACTATGTAGAGGTGGACAATTCTGGAGTGGAAGGTCTGTGTGTAATAGTGACAGATGCAGCCAGTTTCTGGGGGGACAGCTAAGAAAACTAGTATATAAAGGCTGCCAGCTCTGTGGTGGGACAGGGAGGAGTGGCTGCTGAGAATAAAAGCTATATAGTTGCAGCTAGCTCGGGTGGAACAACTGGGCATAGTAGTTATGTAGATGTAGCCAGCTCTGGGGTGGAGTGTGAGGGAACAGCTGAGTATAACAGTGGATAAAAAGAGCATGGATGTAGCTAGCTCTGGGGTGGAACACCTAGAAACAGCTGAGTGGAAGAGCTATATAGATGCACCTGCTCTGATATGGAGCAGGCTGCGTATAATAGTGCACAAAAAGGGTACAGATGCAGCCAGCTCTGGGGTGGAGAAGCTAGAAGGAAACCACTGCCTGGATGCAGCAGCCAGCTTTGGGGTGGGGCCTGTGGGGACTGTCCAAGTATAATGCTCTACAGGTTAGGCTGAGATGTGGCCAGCTCTGGGGTGGAGCTCATGGGCAACAGCTGAGTATAACAGTTGCAGAGATGCAGCCAGCTCTGGAGTGAGGCAATGGCTGAGTAGAATGTGGCACCCAAAAGCTCCCAAATGCTGCCAGTTCTGGGGTGTGGGCTGGCCTAGGTTCCCTGGGACCCTGGGGTCTCACCCCACCCTCCTCTGGCCCCAGCTCACGTTGAGCCGCAGGGTCTCTGTCCAGGTGCCAATGGCACGGTAGCCGGGGGTGCTGGCATTGGTCACCTGGTACTGGAAGATGTCATAGCGTCCAGGGGCATCACCATTCTCATTGAAGGTGACAGGAGTCCCAGCGCTGCCTGATGGGGCAGGAAGGGGTGATTGCCCCAGGAACTGCCCCTCACTCCCAGCCTGCAGCCCCTCTCATCCCCTCAATGCCCTTGACTCCTGACCTGCAGCTCCCTCCATCCTCCCACAGTGCCCTTCTTCCCACCCCACAGCCCCATGGTGCCCCTCACTCTCACACCACAGTCCCCTCCACCTTCCTGTGGTGCCTCTTGCTTCCATCCCACAACCCCTGCCCCCATGGTGCCCCTCCCTTCTGACCCAGAGCCCTCCCCCCACCCCCAAAGTGTTCCTCACTTCCAACCTGCAGCCACCCACCGTTGAAGCTGACAGCACGGATGAACTGCAGCAGGTCATGCCCATCCAGGGGGTCCATGAGGGGACAGAGGCCAGGGGCACCAGGGCATAGGGCCTGGTGCATGGCGTGGAGTCCATGGGCCATAGCGTAGACAGCATCGATGACGAACTGTACCTTCCCCTCCTGCTCGTAGGGCGAGTCCTGCCCGATGCGCTCTGCCCCTGCAGGGAGTGGGGGTGTTATACCCTAGAGTTGGGCACATCTTTGGTGGTCTGCTATGCAGGCATTCCCCCAACCTGTTACCCCTCCAGAGCTGGCTGCAGCCTTTGTGGTGTTATACTTGGCCATTTGCACCTCCCCACCCCAGAGCTGGCTACATCATTCCCCTCTAGGGGATGTCAATCTGAGAATAGTCCCCTATATGGAGTGTTATACTTAGCCAGTCCTTGCGCTGTTTCACCCCAGAACTGGCTGCATGTTTTGTGATATTATGCTTGGTTGTTCCATCCTAGAGCTGGGTGCGTCTTGTCCTCTGCCTACAGTGTCTCACTCAACTGCTTCCCACTGCTTTGCCCGAGTTGAGTACATCTTGCCCTCCCCAGGCAGTGTTATACTTGGCCATTCCATCACAGAGTTGGTTCCACAGCCCCAAACCCCAGAGCTGGCTGCATATTAGCCTTCCCTATGCAGTGTTATACTCAGTAGCTTCCCCATTACTGCACCCCAGAGCTGGCTGCATCTTCACCTTCCCCCTCCATTGTTATACTTGGCCATTTCCCACTGCTCCGCCCGAGAGCTGGGAACATCTTGCCTTCCCCAGGCATTGTTGTAGTCAGCAGTTCCACCCCAGAGCTGGTTGCATCTCAGCCTTCCCTATGCAGCATTATACTGAAGTTTCCTACTGTTCCATCCCAGAGCTGGATACACCTCCTCCTTCCCCCTCCATTGTTACATTTAGTCTTTGTACAGTCCCACACCCCAGAGATGGCTGTATCTCAGCCTGCCCCCTCCTTGTTCTACGTGGCCGGTTCTCATTGCTCCACCTCGCAGCTGGCTGCATCGCTGGACCCACCGGTGCATTTGCGGGCTAGCTCGGAGCCGGCGGCGCTGCCTGGGCGCGTCAGCTTGCAGCTGAAGTCGTCCTCCCAGAACTCGGCAAACCAGATGTTGCGGCGGTTGTTCTCCAGGGAGCGGGAAGTGAAGTATTGATCAAAGCCTGAGAGAGAGGGGTGGGGGAGTCCTCAGCGTGAGGGATGGCCTCCCCCAGGACGTGGAGCTTGGGAAGGGGGTGAGGCAGGCT